CAAAGTACAGGACACAAAAATGGGCGTCGGCAACAACGGAGAATCCAAAAGGGTGTAAAGGCAGGCGAATGACGTAAGGAAGTAGGAGGAATATGTAGTTGCATTATTCGGTAGTAGCCGAGATTAAAGCAGTGACCAAGGATAAGACTCTAGACATCTACATATCGACATTATTAATTTGAATAGAAAATAGAGTGAAGGTGAGAAATGCTTTACTTGGACGAAGGTTAAGATGGTCATGAAGAGGTCTCATGGAGCCTGCATGCCTAGCGTAATTGTAGCTTCATATGATCACTGCCCTGCTATACATAATTATTTAAGAGAGGTGGGCGAGACGAGGTAACGGAATCCGTAGACAGCAAACAATTGTTGATGTACGATCAAATTGGAGACTAAACTATGTGAACGGATCTAATCATCAAACCATCAAGACCTCTTGACTATAAACTCCGGCCGATTCCATAATCAAACGCACGACGGTGGATAGACACTAGCGAAGTCAAATTATTTGCATGAGAGGAAGGTAGCCTCCACACTATGAAATGCTTGTCTATGTATTTGGCGTGCTCGGTACTCAAATCCTCCATCGGAAGACTGATACAAAGCGGGGGCCAAATAACCAACTAGAAAACACCATAGATCCACGAATAACCCCCAACTATGCATTGTATGGCAGTGGTAGAACTAATATTAACTCCAGGCACATGAGTGAAAAACGAGCAGTAGACAGTGGTAATTTCCCAACGTTGTGAAGTAAAGAAAATGACACAGAACAAATATATTCTGCATAAATCGATTGACAGACTAGAGAACATGAAAGACCATCTGTGGCTATGATGATACAGAATAAACAGTGACAATGAATAAAGTAAGGGTTTTGTGAATACGCAAATGGGGATAAAGTTTCCCAAATTCTTTGCATCCGTCGAGTTATATGTTGAGCAACTACGAACATACAGCAAAAAAATAACGAGGATTTCCTCAAGTTATCGCACAGGTTTGCAAAAGACCAGAACATATAGAGTGGAAAAAACCACATCAACCTGCCGCACAGTTATTCCACATACTCAAACAAAGTCTATAACCTAACTTAACATTTAAATTATCAGAATTGAAATGAAACAAAATGGAAAAGTAACAAATTATATCTAAAGGATGCTGTAACGATATAGTTTACACAATTTACTCTAATGGGGTTCAAATCAAAATGCTTGATAAAATGTCGGTGGGTTCTATCACCGATTTTCTTAATAGTAGCATGTTTAGCTATCAAAAAGGCAACACGAATTGCCCAATTTATGGATACTAATAAACCGAAATCTTACAAAGATGGGCAAGGAGGCATAAGGACTTTCAAAGGAGAATAACAAAAGAGTCATTTCACAATTTTGCGTGACATCCAATTTAATAATATATACTATAACACGTGTTTATGTGTCTATATGTATTTTAGCATATTTTGTAATTGCATTTATTTACGCTTACAAATGTGCATGCATGTATGCGATGAAAGTAGTAAACTAGAGATTGAAGGTATTTTGTTTTATAAAAACATTCAGAATGCATATTCCTGTTCCTGAAATCCTTTTAATCTCTAGTTTTATTCGTGCTTATCAAAGTTATATTTTGGAGAATGGGGCAAATTTTACACTAGCTCATTTTGCCCACATCATCATTAAATAAACGAAATTTGTATTCTTTTTGATTAGACCTCTCTTCCAATTAAAGTTGTCTGATATCTTGTGGATTTAATTCACATTTTAACCTAGATCGCAGTAACTGCTCGTACGTTACCCTGTTACCCGACGTTAACTCTTGTTGAATTCTAGGAAAGCATGATGAGATAGACAATACACAAATTAGGGCTTCATAAAATAATTCGTGTCCGTTTTTTAACCAATTTTGCTCGTCTTCTTTGAATAAAAGATCAAAATTATAGTTAGTGAACAAGAATAATTCCTAACATATAGCATTTAGTCATCAAGCAGCTTAAAATGGGAATGACTCAAAGGACGTACACAATTCGACCTGTTATTTTTTAGGCAATCATAGCTAAACATCGAGTCTCGAAGTCTTAATGAATATTAGACTTGGCCCACAACGGCCAGTCGGTCAATTTCGAATTTTCGGGCTGGACAGTGCCGTGAAGATAAAATACGCAAAAAGGGGCACTTTGGCAAAGGGCTAATGTAAATAATTGTGTAAAACCAAAGCAAACTAATAATTATAATTAATACGAGATAATTAAATGCCCATGAGCCGTGAGGCCTGTTCTGTCAATTGTAGCATCAAATGCACCTCCCTAACATATTCTTAGAATAAACATTACCCTAAAGGACTTGACGAAACCCGCAACTCACGAGACGACGTAATGGTACAGGTCTACACTTTAAGATCAAGAGAAAAAACTGCAAAATATCGCGCAACAAGTACAGATAACATTAAATAAATTCCCGTTGACATCAACAAGTAACTCGGTAACTGGATGTAAAACAGCCGACTACGCTTCCCGCATTAAAATACTTGCATGTAGTAATACAAGAGGTAATCCCGAAGACCGAAAGTCTAATTATCAGAAGTAGGTCAAGAATAGGCTCCTGCTGGTACGCACATTTACAGGTGATTACAACAACCATCCACAACCTAGCGCTTGCACTCACTAAAGTATAATGCACACAATATCACTCGTTTCCATAATTAAAAACCCAAACACATGGCTGAGTCAGTGAAAAACGCACGAAATGTAGAATGGGTGTAAAGGCAGGGCATGCTGTTGAAAAGGGACGAGAGTAAGCACTTTTCGTTATCTAATATCTATAAGCAAAATAGGTTAACACTACCAGGATGTTCAGCAGCAAGAAGCTAACATGGATTGAAAAACCTAGTTCCTTTTGAAAACGCTACCATTTATGCCTCCGAGGTTCGTGATGCTTGCAATACTTTCGTAGATTGTTAGAAAAAGGACTGAAAATGCCTATTCCTCTTTTAGTGAATTGTAAAAAGATTTTTTTATTAGTGACACCGGCTTATCTCGGCTGTTACTAATTACTTTTATTCAAAAAGCACAGCCAAGTCATGACTATACATTATCATTAAAAACATTGGTAATTGAAAGGAGGAATTGACAATACTAGCATTTTAGATAACACAGGTAGGACGCGTGAGTTTAGAAAACCGATAGGGTAAAATGACGGCGTAAGACCGAATAAAGGAACATTATGTGGGCACGCCTGCCTGCAAATAGTTTAAAGTGACAGTAGTTTAAGATAGTTGACCTGCAGTATAGTCTCTGCGATACTATAAGTTTGTAAAATAAGTTAGGGAGAGGCACTAAAAACAAGATAAGTCAGTCGGAGGCAGGAGGGTACATGCAGGACGTATACACAAACCGGGTGGGGAGGTGCACAAAAGGATGCCTCGATGGCAGCAGTGGGGTCCATCACAGAAGGCTGTTTGGTCGGCGCTCACGTGTGCGAAGTCACTTGCTCACGCGCGACCAAAATGAGAGGTACTAAACAGGACACCGGTTTCGACCGTTGCGTGATGAATGGATGCTAGGAAGAAAAAAATTAATCACCGCACCAGTGTTTACATCAAAATCCCTAAATACAGGAGCCTCAGCACGGCCTAGGTACACGGGCAAATTTGCTTTTAAGTACCACACAAGGGGAACGGATCGAATCGTGATGAACAAAATACTTAAACAATATTCCATTTATTCCACTGAGGAATGTCAGCGTTCTAGGGATGCTATACAGACTGAAATTCACAAGGGCTTTAGAACACTTAACTGTCACGCTCAAGTCATTAGTCTTCGAAAAAAATAAATAGAGATCGCAAAAACCATCAGATTATCTGATTTTTTAAGCATTACATTTGCGTAGATCATCGATTCCGCGCACTCGGGCGTCTAGGTGAAAAAGAACACGAAGAGAACTTGGGAAGACTAATTCAACCACAGTTAAAAAACCGTGGTATACTAACAGGCTATTCTACTTGTTAACATTTCCTGATGTATGACGGTTTGAGTCAGTGTGGTAAATCAGCCAATTGGAAAAAAATGTACTTCTTTCGCTTATATCAAAATGGAGAACAATAGATAGGAGCGCGCTATGCACCTCGTTCAGACGCTGCCCCAAGCTCGACTAAGTGACACTAAAATAGACATTGCGAAACCGAATACAACTGAAAAACTTGCCATAGCCGAACCGTTTTTGTAAATGATGGATATCAAAAAAAAACCCAAAATAATTAGACCTTAGAAGGCTGAAATGTATCACTGGTCATGCTGAGCCTCAGGCGATCGAATATGCTACTTTCGGTGAAGCCCAAGGCCGCAAAACAGTTGCCGACATCACCAATCAACAGGTTTTGTGAGAAAGTTCGGCCGAAAAAAGTGAAGACTGTGCAATAACGCGCAAGCAACACCACCGCACTTACAGGAATGACAAATTGGCCAATTTAAGGTCTGATTCGGTTTAAAAAAGGCTAAGGGTTTCGGTAGGCCAGTAGTGCAAACATTTTGTCCATTTTATAACTCAGGCCCCAGGTCAGTTGTTGCGAGTCTTCCAAAATGTGCCTGCAAGCCGAAAGTATATCTGGTCCGGCGACATAAGTCGACCGAGATTGACAAGCAGAAGTCGCGCCGAAATGTTACAATTTTCAATTTTTTGCTACAGTAAAATAAGAAATTGCCACAACTCCAGGCCTTTTGTCAAGTCAACAAAGCGGTGACCCAACGAAGTATAGAGTAAACTCCGGGAGTGAAACGTAAACGCCGCTTTACTACTAACGATCAGCCACCTTTTTTTAGTTATACTGCTTTAGGAACATACGTCAGAAAAGGGAGTAAAATCCACAAAATTACACCCCAGTAACCACATAGATCAAGAAAGGAAGCCCTCTAATGGGAAAAAACTAGTGTTTAGTTGTGTTTTGCAAGGTCCAGGTTAGTACGTCTAAAACAGCAGTGGTACCAACCTTATGTAAACAATGCGACGTCAGCAAAGAAGAAAGACAGGTTTCCTTACCTTGAGAAGGTCGTGAGCAGTGGAGCGTTTCTCAACGTCCACCTCGAGGCAGCAGTCGAGGAAGTCGCGAAAGTCGGAGCTCAGCTTCTCCGCGTCCTTGATCTCCGGCTTCCCGTTTGTGGCAATCAGGTAGAGGGCCTAGAAAAAGAAAGACCACACTCCTGCTACCTCGTGGCAAACACAACAAGTGTACTTTCAGATTCCGGAAGGCATCCGTACTATTACTAAGCACTATTTACAGTAGCGAAAAACTTTTTTACGCCAAGCAAAAAACTACCAGAAATCACACGACAAAACACCATCACAGGTACTTCTGACGCAAAAGCAGCATGCACATGGATTTCAGCAGACACACAACAGCAAAATAGGTTTGAAAACGCAATCAACAAGAACACATCGAATTCGAAAAAAAGGCAGTAACACATCGCATTTGCACGCGTTGCTGTAACAAGGACGAGACTCTTATCAGTCAGAACTACGGCTCCATACATGTCAGGTCAACACTATTACCACGACCTCTTAAATTGCAGTACGCTCAGGTCTAGGAAGTCATAGGCTCCGAAACGAGTACTGAGTACTCCCTCCTTGTTAAAATTACCTAACGAATTTCCTGATTCTCATGTCTCTAGCATGAAAGTCAACCCACGGCGTACGCGATCAAAATTACGATGAGGTAGAATAGGCCGAAACAGAGTCCCAGGTCTGCACTACTGGCGTCAGATAATCCAAAACATCATTGAATGCCCTATGCAAGAAACGGATCGAAGACAAGTAACAAGACAATGAAGAGCTCGTAAAGCAAGAACCAAAAAGAGATAATTACTAATAAACATTAAATAAATAATTTCAGATAATAATGACCAAAGTCGCATACTGGGTGTTGAGCTCCAAAATAATGTTCGGATTGACGGGAAAGGGCACAAACATAGCACTTGGATTGTGACGTAATTTGAATGTTAAGCGTACAAGGGAGCTGAATACTCAAATATGATCTTTTTACATCCCTCTTGAGATTATCTATGACCATGATGTAGGTTGGCATTAAAAAAGCGGTGGATCTGCAACAATACCCGTTCAAACCGTTAAAATGCACTGAAATTAATCAACTTTAAAACTGATCCCGAAAGATAGAGGCAGAACGAAACCGAGCAACAGTCAACCCGTAGATCGGCACTTTTTTGCCTACACAAAAAAGCAAGCCACCGCGGATCCAACCTTGACCATGTGACTTAGTCTCAGAAAGGAACTGTTTTTTCCCTGTCACATCTACACTAAAGTTATACATATTTTGTAAGAAGACAGAAAGTTCGGGGACCAAAATTGGAAAATTTATCAGACTTCACTTATACACGAATATGGGCGAACTTGAAATTAGAGTTTTCAACTTAGGGCGCTTGGAACTAGCAGCGTGGTCCCTGCCAATACAGAAAAACAATTAAAAAAATGTTTAATGGCACTGCTTGTGACTAACATCGAAGGGCGTGGAAGTTCAATGGGGTATATTTTCGAGTGCCTTGTTTCAACGTTATACGTGTGTGGGGAGGTGAACATGCGCTCGCAAAATGAGAAACAATATAATCACATTTCATTTGGATTCAGCATCCATGTATACGCAACCTGTCATTTAATTGATGGACGTCTAAATTTGTACAAATAATTAATTTTATAAACTAATCACGTAGTTCGGCCCTATATATTACCGACGAAGATCTTCAAACGGATCGCAACTTAATCGCATGAATTTTGGTCTACCCTGTACATGCTGTTATTCAGACGCCCTCAAGTGATCGTCCACCAACGCGCACATATTAAAATCCATCAGGTTAGCAGAATTAGTAGTTTTTCCCAACCATACCACTACTACTACTAGCAATAAATGTTAGGACGAAATGGCACATAAATTATGCGGTGATTCGACTGGAACTACAACTCAGGTCCAGTGGAAAATCGTTGCGCTAATGTTAAAACGAGATGATTGATGGTATTGCGTACATTGGCTTCACAAAGCATGCAGTAAGCAAATACCGCAGATAACAGTTTATTTGGCAGCTCACTTTGAGAGGTATCTCGTTCAAATAGGGTGGCTCTCCGGTGATCATTTCAAGGGCCATGATTCCGAGGGACCAGACGTCCACTTTGGGCCCGTACTGTTTGCGTGAGACGACTTCAGGGGCCATCCAGTAGGGCGTGCCAACGATTGTCGAACGCTTGTTCTGCTCAGAGGAAAGCTGAGCACAGAAACCAAAGTCGGTCAGCTTGACCGAGCCATCCAAACCGAGAAGGATGTTGTCAGATTTGATGTCTCGGTGGATAACATTGTTACCGTGTAGGAACTCCAGAGCTTGAAGGCACTACGTAAGAGGACATAAAACCGTTAAGGTTAAACAAAAACAAACATTTGTGTTATTTAAATAAACGCTCACACTTGCACCAACGCCACGAAATTCTATAGGTCGAACGCAAGACGATGACAAAATTGGAATACAACATCCAAAGACTTAAAAGCACGGTTAGTAGCTTAGGAGTACGCCTGAGAAATAGTAAGTAGTCCCAAAGCGATATGAAAGGATTCCCAAGGTAAGAATTACAAAGCATGCGACTAAGACGAAGTGCTGACGAAGTCACGGATTTGTACACCATGCTCATATAGTGGGAATTGATGGGTTTGTAGAAAGGATCGAAAGAACAGCCTTAGGTTCGGAAACTCAATGAACACGGGGTACCATGCAGATTCCCATCGTCTAATCTCGACCCTCTAACCTTCCTTCTCGGAAAATCCACGAAATTCAACAACCTATGGCAAAAGGAAATTAACGAACAACATGATAGGCATAGTTGCTCTCTAGAGTAAGTTTAAATAAGTAATGTGAATAACAAGTTATTTATTTTAATGCTCTTGCTACTCAAGAAAACCACGTTTCATAGACGCCACGCAAAGCGAAAGCGGCCGAAACCGCAATCTAGGCATTTGACGGATAACGCGGTATGGAGGTCGCGCACAAATAGATTTTACAACCGACGCATCAGACTGATGATCTGATCAACAATAGTAAAAGCCAGGTCAAGTTGCCATTTGTATAAGGTGCATCAAGAGTTGTTAGCCTTCATAAAGCATTGTGGAGCAGTGAATTGCGAATTGAGGGAAAAGAACGAGAAAATATGCTGAACAGAACTAAGCCATTAGAAAAAGAAATTAGTTTTAAGAAATTAGAATCCAACGATTGTTCTGAATTACATGAGTTTCTCTGCAATACACCAGGCACAGCACATTTTTTAAAACTTTAGGGATGCCTAAATATCCGCTTAGACATATAACTCGGATGACAGATCCACGTAAATCGTGCTTGACAACAATTTATTTTGAGCTGGGTATATAGGTGGTGTGTCAAGATTGCACCTTAAGAATGTTCAATTAGTGTTATAAATAGCCTCAACTTAAATACCAAAAGTCGACAGTTTTAGCAACAAAGACGTCGTGGGAGACAAACAGGCCTCAGGAAAGAACAGCTAGGAAATTGAACTAATGGGCGAGTGGAATCACAAGAAAACTTAAACGACAGACGGATACCGCGCAAATAATTTTTGACCCAAGACAAAACCCAATTAAATAAAAGCATAGTTTTGTGTATCTCCAACTCCGAACTTGCAGTTTAAAATGACTGTATTTCTTTGTCATGAATTATTTCTTCGGACGTCCAGATTTATAGAAATCCCTCAAGGTTTAAAATCCGAAAATTATATTTACAGATGCATTGTTTAAGCTACAGAAATTCGGCAACAAATAGTTGTGCAAGGTCACTGCCGGATAACCGATCATCAGTCTAAGGACCTTCTGCAAAAAAAACTGAACAAAAATAGCATTGGTAATAAGCTAAGAAACGTAAAACCGAATTCAACAAACTCGACGTCAAACAGAAGGCAGCCCACAACATCGTGTAGACGAAGACGCACTGCAGATCAAAATGAGAAAATCGACTTTAGTAAACAACCAAATAATCGGTTTTAAACACTTTCAGGCTAAAAACACGGCTTTAGCGCGGGTGATTTCACAGGTGCCAGAAACTGTGCGCAAGTGAATTCTACCAACACGCGTGCACGAACGTCCCACGGTTGTGAATGCAAAATCGTGGTGACCCAAATACACGACGGAATTGGTAAAACGACCGAATCCAGATATTTAAGCCCACAAACCAGAGAATTAATACGACGAAAGTTTTAACTCGTTTAGGGATGTTTACAATGCCTGCCCAGCATCAGAAGGACATCGGAAATGAATGTAATCGTGAGATGATTGCCGATTGTGAAAAGAACACTCAGCGAAAAGTTGGCCCACTGAAGGTAAATATTGTGCTTTTGCCTTGCTCTTTCTTCTTCTCACCATGCCCACAGAAGGAGGTAATTGGTTCCAACAATGAGAAAACTGGGAAATTGACCGGAATTATACACATGGGTAAGCAACATGCTCTTCGTAGTCTTGAAAGCAAAAAAACGTAACGACTCCCAACGTGGACAAGCCAAGAGTTTGGTAATAACAAGAATGGTCCCCACAGCAATGCAGCTGAGGAGACTAGATCCAGAAATTGGAAAGGGAATGCCTGTTTTCGCCTGTGGGTGTTCATACATTACACAAACACGTTTCCGGCTGTATTTTCAAAGCTACGATGAAAATTAGAAAATTTTTTGACTTGAAACAACTATGCAACGTGCAAAAAATGACTTGATGCAGTAATTTTTAATGTGGCAAAGACAAAATTCCCGACCCGCACAGACACATTGTCATTTTTGAATTATGATCGTCAAACAAAATACGAGACTTCCAACTAAAAGACAGATCTTTTCATAGGGAAAATGCAGCACATGCTCAGACCAGTTTGACAACAACATAAAAGACTTCTTTTAAAATAAACCCAAACCCATACCTCTCGACAGACTGTTGAGATTTGTCCTTCGTCCATTAAGGTCTCAGTGACGACCTCGGTGAGAGACCCACCATCGAGGTACTCCATGACGACCCACAGCTCGTCCGCCTCAACCAAGTAAGAGTCCAAGTAATTGACCACGTTAAGGTGTTTGTTGCCTTTCATCACGAAGATCTCGTTCACAATGAGCTCCTTCTTGGGTTGCAGCTTCAGATTCATCTGCTTGATCGCCACTCGATGACCTGTCGCAATTTCCACACCCAGGCTTACAATACCCGTCGCACTGAAATCGAATTCAAGGTAAGGAAACACGTAGGACCCGCAAAATACATCCTCAAGTTACTACTGGAGGTTTTATAACGGGTAAGCAGAGGTAACTACGGGTGTGGGTGTTCTAGTTTGCACTACCGAAATGCCAGTTTACAATGTGGGGCGAGTAGAAGTGCTTGGAGCACGTTAAGTTAAATATCGACAAAGCACAAACCTTGTGAGTACCGCAAAAATATAACCACGAGTTCAAGTTAATACGAGTAACAGCAAAATTTGCTGAAGACATGTCCATGCCAGATTCCCCTATATACGAAACACTGCTCACTAAATACACTGATTTATGCCACATTAAATAGCAAAAAAGTAGTCAGTAAATTTAAGCGTATTGAAGTAGCCGCGGTACAGAGTACATTATGGAAATTTTACAATTTGAGCGTGCCATTTTAAATATAAACAAAACAAAAAGAACAAGCGAACAAGCTACTAAAAACTACCACGGTCAAAAGGACACGGGACAAAGCGGAGTCGATCAGGAAAGTTGAAACGATGTGACGCGATCAACACCACCTCAGTCATCCCCTTATAAAACAATTTGCCAACTTAGGGAAATAAGTGCAAGGAGAACGTAATCCAGATGAAAAAAGGCATAGTGAAAGCGGAAGACGCATTCGTGTTCGGCAAGCAGATGAGTAAGACTATGAGCTCGAAAGTGGATGCAGACGAAGCGGTGAGCCATTTTAAACATGAACTCGTGTAACCGCACAAGACTACTACAAAGTCCGATATTATTTTTTTTAAGCATGACCATTTTTGGTTTAACGATTTTTTAATGAGTATAAAATTGGCGACCAAGCACCAAACAAGAAACCACAATTTAAAATACTGAAAAGACTTCAAAATGTTCTCAATTGATGTACATGAAAAATGTCATCGCAGACAATATATTTTAACAAAATTAACCTGAGGACGAGTAGGAGAAAGACCTGATTGTCACAAACAGCTTAGCAAGATAGTAAAAGAAACTCACCCCTGACCAATTTTCTCCAGCTTGCGATATTTGTCGTTGGGGCTGCCTTCACTGACCAGCAGCCTAAGATTGGCATAGACCTCATCGTCGGTCATTTTGGACTTCATCTTAGCCAAAATCGCTTTATGGTCCCCGTCGTGATTGTGGTGGTGGTGCTTATTAATGTGGGTTTTGGTCGACGTGGAGGACTTCGTGAGGTCAGCAGGAGCTGTGGCGACCTTGTGGGGGAGCGGGGAATGACGACAGCGGTTCCCCTTGTCCCTGACCTCGGGTTTATGGGAAGGATGGCAGTCAGAAGATCGAGCCGGCTTTTGCGTGCAAGTCTTGTGAAGCTGACATTGATGCAGCTGGGACTTTGGAGTCTCCACAGCATCAATGGGAATGGTGTACTGAAAGAGAGGAGAAATTTTACTTAGAACTTCCACTTACAGTGCATGATGGTTACGAAAATAATGGTGCCAATAATAGTCGAGATGTGTGGACGAAAAAAACAATGATGCACACGTAATTCCCACAAGGACATGTATCCTCTTTCACTTAGGTTAAGGCATACTGACAGCGCTCCAATTTGTGGCTGTGACTTTGATACCAAAATCAGCAGAGGTATTAGATCACAGTTACACATCAAAGCAGATAAAAAGGAGTTCTTTTTTAAAATTAGGATCAGTGCCATTTCAATATGGATGGCTAAACACTGATAACATTGCATAAGTGTGGCCAAAGGTGCCAACTCACAGGTACATCAAAAATTAGGTGTAGCAGAGAAAACGCGAAGCACAAGGCCAAATATAATAAAAACAAAAGATCGAGGAAGTATTCCGATGGAGTACATTTTAGGCACATTGTTGCAATGTGTGAGGAATCTTAATATAACAACGTTGAAGTAAAGCACAAGCATGGTGCTCACACAAACGAACAACAAAACGGGGAGTTCAGATATGATGCCAAATTTGGGTTTGAACAGAACCAGCGGATTTAGAACACCGGTGCGGCAGTTAACCTACCGACATGTTGACGTGGCCTTTTTGAAGCAGTCACGGTAAGCGCCTTATCAGCGCGCAGTGCACACCAGGTTAAGTACACCATATACAGCAAGTCCTGCAGAGCAGGCATCCACACCGAATGCGTAAATTAAACCGACTTTACAGGAGAAAAACATCGCCAGAGCGAAAAAGGAAAAAAAACAAGATTGCGATAAAAAAGAACTGGAAACCGCAAACGTGAAGTCGCGGAAATGTAAAAGGCTAGTACAGAATGGTGAACCTGGAGCCACAGCAGCAACAACATCTAAGTGTATAGGCAAAGCAGGAGACAGTAGGGGCGTCTTGACAAGAGTACTTTGATGCTCTAGAATGCCCCATTGCTCACATCGAAAGACTGCAATGGAGGCTGGAGTTCGAAGACCAGCGACTTTACTGTCGGCACAATCAACGACCAGTGATTTTTCCAGTTAACCACCTGACGGGTGCGAAAAGCGTCCCGAGCCCACCGCGGCTGCCTCATGAAAGTAAAGCAGTTGTGCTACCAGGCGAGTTAACGGAAGTACAAAGGCGCAAATTAGGTGAAGACTGGTGAACTCACTCCCCACTAATGCACGGAATCCCGAAACATTATGAATGGTGTGTGCGCAAGTGCTCACTTCAGCGGTGCAGAAAGCAGACTTTATTACGTTCGATATCTCAACTTAGAGGTGTGTGCAATGTGGCTGTGAAATGTAGCACAAGGGAAGGGGCGGTTTACAAGGGAGGGCTCAGGAAACAAGGATCTTGTTTCGGAGCCTGCGACTTCATAGACCCGAGGGTACTGTTGTAACTCCAAAGACCATGCGTTGAGGGGTTGCGGCGCTTGAATTAGCATAAAAAACCCTAGATCAACTAGACCACTTATTTGAACATGCGGCAGTCATTATACTTCCAATAGCATCACCGTGCGTGTGCCAATCACTGCACCGAGTTTAATTGGACTTAATTTACTTATTGTAACGCTTTTAAATTAAGGGATCTGATTATCACAGAAAAACTGGAAGACAAGTATTAGTGTTATTATGAAAAGCACTTACAAAGGAGTTTAGTAAAGTCGCAAGACACTAAAAGTAACCAAGTTGTGCACCCCGATCAGGAAGTTTATGGATCGAGGTTTCAAATAACTAAATTGATGAAACAAGGATTCTTTAGACAAAGTGGAATCATGCAACCGAATAATTTGCAAAACCAGTGGCGTCCAGACGTAAGAACAATAGGCATGACCGCCTCTCAGAAACTCACGATTGACTTCGTCTGTTCAGGCCGGGAGGCCACAGGTGGGGGTCGCTGGTTGGGAGGTATCCCGCGTCTTGGGGTAGGCGTGGACGAGCCGGAAGGCGAAGTTGAACTTGTACCGGCCTGGCGGAGGCGAGCGAGGGTCGGTGGACTCTGACAGTGGTCGACATCCAAAGGGGGAGTGGGAAACTTCCGGCGGGTGGCATGAGGGGAAGGGGGCTGCAAGAGGACGGTGGATGGGGGTGGTGGTGGAAAACAAAGGCGGTTGTCTGTCATGTAGGCAGAGGAGACGGGAGGCACAGCTGAAGCGGACGTAGTTCGTCGGGGAAGAGTGGAGGCATGGGGTATTTCGTCCTGCAACCAATAGAATATACGGCGAATATATTTAAGTGAGCCAAAATCAATGCAGATTGCTAAAACAGAGAGAAGAACCGAACCTGGAGGATCTTACAAGATTAAAGGATTAACGTGCTGACATCGCCTGATATTTGGTTCATTGGTTTAGTCGTTAGCTGGAAAGAGAATCGCGGAACTGGTCGAAATAGAACAGCCAAAATGCTTTTGAACGATCCACAAAGAAATGTACACACATCCAGCATCATTGAATGGATTCAAAATCATCGCCTAGGTTTACACGTTTGCATGGTTTGTGGATGCTATTATTATGCAGAATGCTATTCAACTTTTGTCAAATAGATTTTAAGAAAATATACATATTGCCGAGAGTGGCAGAACGTTACGATGTTACAAAGAGTAAAATAGAAGAGGTAAACAGGATAGGAGGGTTTACTTCGAGATGTAGTATTTCGGACCTTAAAAAGATGCGTAAGGGAGATTTTTTTAAGTGTGTCTCTAAAGGGGGTACTGTTGAGTGAGCCGCTAATGACCAATCTGGAAGCTCAGTTCAAATTGGATCTCTCGGGCTAGATGACATAAACCCAGTGGTGCTTTGGCTTGAAGTCGTCTTCCACTAGAATTCAACCAAGTCGTGAGTGTAACGAAATGAAATCAATAGAATTTTGGACACAACAAATGAAGGTTGGTGACTCGTAGCTGAAATTTTGTAAAAAAGTATGGGGTTACTTTTGTAGCTACTACATATCTAAAGTCAACTCGTTGTGTTCAAACAAGAAATTACCAGAAGTACGAGTAAAAGCATGAAATCCATGAAGCCGTGTGGTTCACACAAGGTGCTAGTCAATTACGATGAAAACACACACACTTGCATGTCAGAATGGGTTCACTTAAAGCATGGAACAAATAAAACAATTTCTGGCAGATACGTTCAGTAACCGGATGCTTCAAGACGCCCAGTTATGAATAAACAATAAGAATACAGACAACTGATAAGAAAAAAAAGCTATAACCTAATACTGCTGGTAAAGCACAAAATGCATACAAGATTTATGGAAAAGAGGATGTAATTATACGGGCTATTTCTTAAAAAGTAGCGAAACTACCTACCGGAGTGTAGAAGGAAATATACAGAACCAAATATTCAATTTCTTGGCTTGTATTGACGTTTCTTTAAGTGAAATATGCACCACAAAACCTCAAAATAACATTCATTCGCAAACTTGACTGCCTGCAATTTACATAACAGTCCACAATGAGTTATAGCGTCGACTTTTGCAGTATTCCCGCACTGTTCGTGTCAGCGCAACTTGTAGACGGACAGAGAATAGAGGTGTGTTAAAATTCCAATATCACAATCGGATGAAACTTGACAAAATCGGATTAGCTAATGTGGCTCATTGTTAAACGAGGTTAGCTGCAGCTTTTACAGTAAATCTGCTGTAAGGCCGCCATGAGAAGCTTTCCGAGAGATCAAAATATTTGGAGTTGCGGGCTAAGTCCTCTCTCCTATTTTATTTCCCGGGTGCACATAGGAACATTTGTGAGTACCTGTCACTTGAAAAAAAGATCGATGGATAAAACGGCGGGTGATGATAATAGGCCCAAACTCGAGGAAACCATTCGCTCCGCCAAACAAGGAACATTGGGCCGGAAAATAGTTTTCGATTTTCGTTTTGGTTAGAAAGAAGGAACCAAATGCACATCAAAGTGGCTATTTCACAAGGCCAGAAGCAAGTACAACCTCTTCATTTTCCCAGAAAGATAAAAATTACTCTTTATTTGGAATAAATTACTAAGATTTTGACGTGGAAATGGGCCGGATATAAAAGAAGTCAGAAGGCTATTTCTAAAGTACTAATCGGGTTGATGAACGCAAAATGAAACTAAGGAACTAGTACACGTAAATGTGCAGAATTTGGCTAAATCATGAAACATGGAAGTAAATCAAGCTAAAACCACACGAGATAACAAAGTGAATTGTGACCAAGAGAAAGTCTGATATAAGTGAACGAAAAGTTAAATATCCTTAAAGGGGGATGGGGAAAATAAAACCCTATTTTTTTTTCTAAATTCGTACGTGCTGGCTGAAGAATGCGTAGAATTAAGAGGACATCCAAATGGGTTTACGATTTAAAATAGGAAGCAATTTATTTTATACTCAGCACCAGATCGTAGTAGACTAAAAGAAAGTGTGCAATAATAAAGTTGATATATTGTTGACGTTTTTTTCAATGACCTTATTAAGAGTGATCAAGGGAAAATAAAGATGTTAATGGGTTGCTAAAGAATATCAGCAGCCACACGGGAGTTCGGATGATGATGGTGAACATGAACCCGGTGGAATTACGTTCCTTACTCGAAATCACACAAGAGCGGTCTCTATACTAATTATATTAAAGGTTAGTAGCTTGGGTGATAACCGCGAGGTACAGCGAAGTATCTTCTCATAGGGTTCATCATGACCGGTTCGACAGTGCAGCGCGCGCCGAGATTAAGTAATTAGCCTACCGGAAAGCGAGTAAATTACCGCGTCGACCTCGAGATAATGCTCCTTCACACAAATCGAGGTACGTAGGCACTAATTTACCAAACATCAAGTCTCGACAATCTCGAAATTGCCAGGACCTCGTTTACCTTGAAACAGCCTCGACCTTCAAGTTACTGAAATATTTCCTAGGCTTGGAAGTCCCATTTCATGACACACAATAAAGTAGTATTCACTGAAACTTATTTTCAGGAATTGCCCTAAAACTTTCACCTAGAAAAATTGATTTAGCAGGAGCAGCTGCCGTTTGTTCAGAGTTGTGTCCTGAAATGCCGTCACTATCGACGAAGTTCACCATACCTATTACTTAGATTGAGTTTACTAGATAAATCGACATCCAAATTTTGTGCTCTTTGCGTGAATGTTGGCCCATGCATCAAAAAACCTACAGAAAAGGTTAATTGATGAAGCAGCTATCTGAACCATATGAGAAAATCTCGTGATTCCAAAACGAGAATATCAACTGCGAAGTTGAGGACTAATTATTTACCCAACAGTTTACAGCAGTGTAGAATTTAAAATAATTTGTGTAGGACAGAATGCGACATGGCTGAGATAAGCAACAATGCGTAAGTCCTCGACAAATTCAACCCAATGTACAATATAAGTTGACAGGAATTTGAAAGTCTAGCCGTTGCGCTACAAATGAAGAGATTTTATTTGTTTCAAAGGCGTAGATTCAAGCCAGCTCATCCAATCCGCATAGCCATAAAGCGTTTCGAAGATTCATTTGCACAATTACCAAATAGACAAGTAGCCAAAATACACAACTGGAGACACGAATAGAGAGATCTGCTGAGCCGTCACAGAAACCTGTTTGACTACCCATTAACTGCTACCAGATGGACTGACAAACACTAGACATTGATTAATGAGACTACTGATTGGCAAATAGATGCACAAGATGTCCTCACGTAGTGGCTTACGTAGAGACTGAGAACCTGACTGACATTAATGTCCGAAGGAAAAACGCAGTAACAAAGGTGGTTCCGTTTGTATGTGCACAACAATGACTTAGACGTAACCCATGATTATAATAAACTATAGGAATACTACACAATATATTTTGACAGATATATAGGTGACGATCGGTGTGGGCGAAATGAACCACATTTTTTAATGGAATTCTAGTTAAAAAACTAGGCCTGAAATTACTTTCTTACCAAATCACAGGGAATAAGTAACAACAAATAACCAGAAAAGGTAGCAAAAACAGAGACGACGCAGTACTCCATGAAATAATGGCAGGTAATGTTTGTTCTTGTGAGCAGGTAAAACAATCTGTAATTTTGGGACGCATTGCAAATTTACCAGGGCCTCCTTATTGGCAACGAAAATCAGGAATAGACGCCAGCCAATGTGACAAAAAAGATTGGTATCATTAAGCATTCTTTTCTCTGAGAAAGCTAAACAAGGCAAAGATGTTGGGAGAATGGTTGGAAGTTCGTAAATTAAGATATTCACGGAACTTACCACCCGGGTAACCTGACATTCA